GGGGAGGCCAGCATAGGGCTTGAACCCAGAACCCTGAGCTCAACATCTGAGCTGAGCTCAAGTCGGATGCCCAACTGACCGAGCCACGCAGGAGCCCCAGGAAATGATTTTTTGAACTGTTCAAAAGCCCAGGCCACAACTAAACCCCGATCTTCAGTGGGTGGGATACGACCGTCAGGAATCGTGAAGCCTCTTCAGGTGATTCTACTCTGTGGCCTAGTTTGGGAACCACTAGCTTAAAGCAAAAAGTCCTTTATAAACATCAGGTGAAAATAAAAGCGATCCCTTGACACAAACACATAACCCATCTGTCGGGAGCTATTCATTGTTTCTGTATCAAGAAATAAACATGTTAAAATGTCAAAATCCTGCTTTCTTTTCCTTTACACCTGAGGCATCTCTAATAAACACATCAATACCAGCAAACTTACTCTGTCATAATTCGGAATTATAAAAACCAGCAAGAGAGATCTGGCATTTAAGTTCATAAAAGCGTTTGCGTGTCACTTACGTATTTTTTAAACGAGGACCTCACTGGAAGACGACAGACAGGCCTTCTCCTGTGAGGTCTGTCCCCTGCATCGTGTGGGCTCCGCCCGAGGACTTTGAAAACAGGGAAGGTAAAGCACCTCGGATCCTACGCTGAGCTACGGCCACTCGAAGGACATGAAGGCAGGAAAAGACGACCGAGTGATGCTGTAAGCTATAGGGCAGCTTGGTGATTTAGGCAATGTCACGCCCCGAAATCGGATTGCTTTTAGTGGCCTCTGTGTCACCAGCTTGCGCTAGAGAAGCAGCCACCTCGGAGAGGTGAGAACCACGGTGGGCAAACACAAGGACAGGACACTCTCAAGATAGGCCGAGAAGCCCAGAAAGCACGTATTAGCACCTCGGTGATGGTTCCAGGAGGGTCCGGTGGAAGCGCAGCTTGACCCGGAGCAACAAGGGCCGTGACCTCTCCGAGCGCGCAGAGCGAGGGCAGGCCATCTGCTGTCAGCAGCGCTGCTTAACCCTCGTGGATTCGAAGACAGCTCCCCCTCCTCACGCACAGCGATCTAGGAGCGCCGCTGTTGATTTCCCATTCAGGAAATCTGGCCGGCAACTCCGCAAAGCCTGCGGCTCGCTGTCGAGCTCCGTGCAAGCCCATGATTTAATTGTGGATGGAGGGAAATAATAGGTATCTCTAGCAGGTTTTAATATGATCTTAAAATAGGGGGAAAGTTTTCTGTTATGACATTGACATCGAGGCGATGATTTTGAGTAATGCAGGATGATGTGGAGATGCTTTCAGATTAAATAAGAGCTATATAAAGGCTTGTCAGAATGAATTCTAATGTGCCACGAGACACTTTGCATACTCTTAAATATGCAAAATGTCTCTTGGCACCCTAGAATTCATTCTGACAAGCCTTTATATAGCTCTTATTTAAACTCCTACTTTATTTTTAGGGAATAGGTACACTCTTTGAATGGAAGCAACAAAGGGCAGTGTTTATTGATTTGGTTCTCTCGTGGGGGGAACAAAAAGAAACACGATACGAACGAGCAATCAAAAGTGGAAGCTTGTTTAATATTGCTCTACCATCATCCTGAAAGGCATAATAATTTGAGTTACACATCTGAACTGATTGGAGTTACAGAATCATATCTCCTTTTTGCATTTAACAATATATACAATATAAAATAAATACATTTACACAAATGGACATTTGCTGGAGCACACAGTATGGTACACATCACAAAAATATACAATTGATTGCTTTACAGATGTGAAGCCCATCTACAGCTATAGACATGGTTTTATTATTATTATTATTCTTTTTACTACTGGCTATAATGCAACTCCTGGATTATGATAAGCAGTTTAAATTTTTTGTCCTTTTACGATCTTTGCACATAAGACTGCCATAAAATGTTTTCCTAGGCAGGTAAACAGAGACGCTTAAATAATTAAAATACAATCACCAACACCCATTTTCTCTTCTATAAGAAAAATAGCAGTTTTAAATATTTCATATCTTTTATGTTATCATTTAAATGCAAAATAGTGGAATAAATACAACAATCTGATCTGATTGAAACACAAGTGTAACTACAGGTAGTCACACAATCCTATTGCTTTAAATAAGAACAAACCTAAAAGAAGCAAAATAAAAATTTAAATCATATGGAGAAAACATACACTCTTATAACTTTCCAAAACTTCACATTAAGTAAATGGTCTTGCTTGAAACTTGAAAAAACTTACCTCGAGCGAGGTTTAAGATGAACATTTTGCCCTAAAGCCCGTGCAGTTCTTTTAGATCTATGTTTTAAGTCGTGTTTCCTATGTGTGAGATTCGTGTACTCGGTAACGCCGAGAGTCACTTAAACTGAAAACTAAAATTTGTACTAGATTCTTTTCTCACATCTCCATCTCGTGTTTTCAGTTGGTTGGCTCTGAGTTCTGAAGCCCAAGTACTTTAATGTGATACAGTGAAAACAACGGATATATTGTTATATATTTTTACTTATATATAGTGTGGTTGAATAGTAGCAACTTAAACCCTGCACAAACTTTCTGGAAAATAATCTTTTTAAATACTTACATATATAAATAATCTTATAGAATCAGCACCTTTTGTTCCCAGGAGTTGTATTTTCTGTTGTTATTTTTTTTTAAAGGGATGTGCCAATTTCTGAACTCCTATCACAGCTATAAATTTCAAGTTATTGACCATCTGATGAATTGCTAATGATGATTTATCTAGAATCACACTACAGCCACTTCTCTACTGAGAAACCACAATCTACGATATAGTCCCATATAGCTAATGATAGATACACAGTATTCCTAGCACGAGGCTGATGAACCATCAACCCAAGGTATTTTGTTTAAAGCACACAAAGTAGCAATAGTTTTGGAAACGTGTCCGCACCAAAAAGTTTTGCAACAACACAGAGCTAGTTAATAACAACATCTGAGAGATGGTTGAGTGAAAGCCATATATACAGCATTTAAAAATTAGACTTATCTATATTCTTGAAATATTCAAAGTTTTATTTCTAAGCTATACATTGGTATTCTATAATAAACCATTAGAGAAATTATTCCTTGTTTTGAAAATATTATGATTTTGATGTGTTTCTGTTCATAATGAGTACTTGTTTGGAGTTTCAATCTCTTAATTATTATTAGGAAGAACCTTATTACTGGTAAGGAATAGAATATACTACTGTAGTCTCCTGAGGAATTGTACATCCAATATTGTCTCTAATTCTACCCTGTGTCTAAAAGCACACACCACAAGAATCCAAACACCACAAGAAGAACAAGACAACAGTCTTTGAATGCAACATAAAATTCAGAAAAGCACAGCAAACATGAAACATTGAAAAGCTGAACTACATCTCTTTTGTTTGTTAGGATTACAATTTTAATTACATCTGTGTACATAGAATAAGACTGTTCACATAGTACAGGGAGCAGCTACTAACACTGGTCCATTGGTATAGCATTTGATGGAGGTTACTGTTTATTGGTTATTCAGCGACTGTAGATTTCGGGGGCATCTAATTGATTTCTTCATTAGATTACACCTCTTAACAGTCTGGAACCTGACTGACTTTCTTGCTGTGACAATACTGGTTGAAAAAGCACACATATTGGCTTAGCTCTTGGTAAAAACTGCAGCTTAATTTAAACAAACAGTCCTAAATGAATCAACTCATAAAGATTACGTTTTAGAATTTGGTCAGGCGTCTGCTGTCTTTGATGGTTTTGGGTTTTGTTTTTTGTTTTTTGTTTTCCCCAAATTCTGGCATTTGCCTTATTGCCTCTTAAATGAATACTGGCTCACAGCTCCTTCCGAGACAAGGTCTGTAACTCTGCAAACAGGCAGTATCTCGTTCCTAACCACCACGGCAGCTAGAAATCCTATGGCAACTGGACCTCCCAGGTAGAGAGGTGCACTCCTGATCATTCTACGGATCTGTACTCCGTGTGCGGTGCTTTCTACACGTGACCACCGGAGTCACGGCAGGTGTAATCTAATCCTTTGTGTCAGTGAACATTTAGGGAAACTGGAGCTCGTGTAAGAAACTGATGCTTGGGACCAGACTGGCACACAACATAAATTGCATCCGTGATAATATGCACCTTCCCTTCAACTATTGCTTGAGTAAGTTAAATTCCCATATTAATAAATGGCTGAAAAGTGGTAAAGCTGGTACAAAAAAATCTCCATTTGTAAGAAGAAACAAAACATTTTTTAAAAATCTTCCTTCAGGATTCATTTGTCCTTCATTATTGTTCATAATTGTTCAAAGCCAGCACAAAATTGCAGTATTCTTATTTCTCTTTAGTATTGCATGAATGAATAAAGCTTAAACTATTCCCTGAAAAAGTTACATAGTAGCTAAACTAACAAATACCTGGAAGACTTGAAAAAACAATTAAGGAATCAAATGGCTGTAACTGATCTAGATGGAAAAGCAATGAGAAGAAGCAGCCGATGCCACGTTGCTTAAGTTGTCTAATTAGCGGCTGCTCCCGTGAAACCTAATACTGCACTCAGTCAATGTGTCCGTGTTGCACTGTACTTTTAGGTACGATGGTTCTCTCTCTTTGATTCCTTAGTCATTGGGGACGTTATGGTTCACAACAAGCTCACTGGTATCCATATTATGGATCTCCATCCTTTGGCAGGGCTGGCTTTTCTCTCTCTTCAGTTAGAGACCTCTTTTAAAAGTTCAGCAGCAGAAGGAAGGAAGGAAGGGAGGGAGAGAGGGAGGGACACAGGGAGGGACGGAGGAAGGGAGTAGGACAATTTCCTTACAACTAGAGATATTTTCAATTTAGGAGAGAGGGGAAGGACGGGAAAAGAGAAGGAGGTGAGGAGGAGGGAGGCAGGACAGAAGGAAGGAAGGAAATAAAGGAGAAAGGGAACCGGTAATGAAGGAAGCTGAGAAATGAGGGAGAGGACAAATAAGGGAGAGAGAAAAAAAAAAAAAAATTAGGAGAGAAGGAAGGTGAGAAAAGGGCCAGAGAAACTCATCAGGAAGATGTGGAGGAATCTGAAAGCTGCTTCATAGTCTTGCTGCTAAATGATCAGTGCAGTCTGTTGATTTTTGATGTTGGTAACTAAACTCTATGTTTCTTCGACATCACTCTGGAGTTGATTTTCCCTTTTTCGGCGTGCAGGACAGGAAGGCCCAGGGAGCTTTTAGTCAGACCTTGGCCTCGAGCATTTCCAAAAAAAGTTTGTGCATGGGGACTTTGCCTTCCAGTTTGATGTTGTAGAAGTGCTGCACGGCCTTGGTGGAGGTCTGCCTCAGCAGCGGCAACGTCATCAGCATCTTGCCCGCCCGGCGCGGGTCTTCCATGTGCTGGCCGGCCTCGTAATCCTGCAGCGCCTCGTGTAAGACGTCCTGAAGTTTCTGGACGGCCTCCCCATCTTCTATGTGCATGGAGTCTGGGCGACAAAGCAAAACATGGAATCAGGTCACTAATAACCAAAACCGATTTGGGGGAAGTTAACATACTATACTTGAACTTCCCGAGGCTCTAAGCTGTGATTTGCTCTGAACCATTTCCAAAATCTCTACTTTTTTCTAAATTTCCCTACAGGAGATGATTTCTAATATGGATTTAAAACACAGAAATTACTGCCAAAAAAATGCATTATTTTAAAGTGCAGGTTTTCTTTCCTCTTAAGATGGAGCGATCAGAGAAGAGTTGCTTTTGACAGATGGCAATCTTGGTTACTTTATTCATTATCTCATTCACATATTTTTTCACCCATTCAACAATTATCAAAGGTCATCTATTAAAAGTACTATTCTAAGTGCTATGGAGGAAAAACATTGTCTAAAATTATGATCTTGCCCTCAAAAAGCCTGTATTTCCCAAAAGGAGAAAAAAAAAAAAAAAGGAAATGACCGAGGTTTTAAGAACTCAGTATAAATACATGGAATTTAACACTACATTCAGGTGTAAACTCCACAGAAATCACAACAAACTGCTTATCCTTTCAAGATTTTCAGTGTACTGGTAACAGTTCATTAAAACATCCTTACATAGTCTGCTTCTACTGAAAAACAAATGAAGTCTTTAGATTAATGAGTTCTGAAATATCTTTCACATTTGTGAAGGTGAACTTTGCCCTTAAGTGACTCATTTAAAAATCTAATTCAATCAAGAAAGGAAAGGGTTAACAGGGTTGTCACAATTATTCTTTTGAGAAATGTGAGATGTGGGGGAAAAAGAAAAGTTACTGCTCTAGCTCTAAAACAGACACTTAATTATATACAAGTTTGAATCATTTAGCACGTTTTATTGATTCTGATGACAGTTTATCTGTTAATTACACATAATGGAGTCTTTGGGGGATTCCTCATGTTTAATAATTCTTGTTCTCTGAGAATGCAGAGCTCTAAGATATATGTAGTTAGCCTAATGTTTCATATAATTCAAATATCAGGTCACATGTACAAAAAGAGAAAGGAAATGTAATTAAAAATGAAGTGACTAAACATGATAAAAAAAATCACGGCGATGTAATTAAAAAGGCTAACAGCTATAATCAGGACCATATTTAAAAACTTGTTTGTATTTTGTTGTTTTTTTCTCTTACATTGTCATTTTGAAATCGTTTCACCACATCGTTAATAAACTGACCACTGTTTACATGAGGGGGTTAATGACACGTTTCTTGAAAAGAGAAATACAGTGGCTTGGGAGCTTTTACCACTCAAGACTCAACTCCTGCTAGTTGAACTGAGAGGAGGAGTTCTTCCAGGTTGTTAAGGTTGATAATGTCCCTGGTGTGGAACTCAGAACATTTCTCAACACACAAGCTAATCTGTCCCTATGGATTGATCCTACCCAGGCTTCTCTCCACTCTGGCCCCTTTCAGCATGACAATCCCATCCACTCCCTATGTGTCTTCTCACAGCAACAAGCATGCATCATTTCCAAAGATGTCTATCAGCGGGCAATGTGAGTGAGGGAAAAACTGTCATGGAAATCACAATGTGCACTGAAATTTTTTTTTTTCCTATTTTTCTTCTGAAATGCTATCTTAAGGGAAAATGGTGGGTCTGGACTCACACGAATGGTGAGCGTCCCAGGACACAAAAAACTGACTTTGCACATGAGGGAAGGGAGATAAGGTGGACTTACCCAATTTGACCTGGGACTCAAAGCACTCAAAGTGAAAATGGGAACAAATGGATGGGGAGAAGAGAATTGCATCTTTACAAACAATATTAAAACAAAATAGCTATCTTCCCACCAGACCCCCCCACCAAAAGAAGCAAAATAAATATAATAAATAAACCACATATTAAGTACCTGTTTGGGGTGAGGCTTCTATTTCTTTGTGATAAGCACTTTCTGAACACTGTCTCCCCTCTCTTCTCCCAACTGCTGTAAGTCACGTGGCACCGGGAGGGTCAGAGTTGGGCCTAACTTGGGTTTCTTTGTATCAAAATATGCTGCTAGAATGCATACCACTGCAAGTGGCATTTACCTTGCTTTCCCCCCCAAAAAGTTAAAATGATCTTCTGAGTCCATCTTATTCAACCTTCGATCATCATCAAGGATCTGCTCTACATTTCTGGGGCTTCTGGGTGACTCAGTGGGTTAAAGCCTCTGCCTTCAGCTCAGATCATGATCTCAGGGTCCTGGGATCGAGCCCCGCATCGGGTTCTCTGCTCAGTGGGGAGCCTGCTTCCCCCTCTCTCTCTGCCTGCCTCCCTACCTACCTGTGATCTCTCTTTCTCTATCAAATAAATACATACAAATAAAATCTTAAAAAAAAAAATCTTCTCTACGTTCCTAAGGAAGACATTTCCAGATGTATGTAGAGCACTCTATTTCACAAGGGACAGAACTAATCCTTACAAATGTCTTCTTCAGATTTTTTCCAAATCTGTCTACAACTCCTGTCCTTTGGTCCTGGTTCTAAATACTGGAATGATACAGAATAAATGTCCCTCCTCTCTATGCGGATCTTTAAATGCTTGAAGTGAGCTGCTGAGCCACCTCAGCCCCAACTCCAAGCCTTGCCTTCCCCACTACTCTGGCCCGGCAGGAGATATATTATAGGATGTCACAGGAAATGAGGCGAGAACAAATAGCAGAGAGATACGCTCACAAACAGCAATTAAGACTTCAAACTATTCTTTAAAGGCTGTGATTTAGCTAGAGAGAGTTAAAAATGATTTAATCAAATTACTATGATAATTTAACTTCCCATTTACAGAAAAGATTCTAACTCATTTTAGCTTTACCCATTCTCGGATCTGCTAATACTTTAAATGCAAACTCACTAAATCTGAACTATTTAATTAGACCATGATTCAGCTGGCAGACTGCTGAAGAAAATATTAATCTCCATTAGGGATCCTAGTTCAAGTTCTGGCTCTGTGGCTTTAATCGCTGTTTGGCTCTTTGGTCTATATGTATACATTTATGCTAGGCTCACTAGAACTGGCATTAATTTATGTAATTATTTAGCTTTGGTTGTTGGAGCTGGTTTCTTTTTAACTTTGTGTTTTAAAGGAAATGGTCCCAGTATTTGTGCTAATGAAAACCAGTGAAACTTAATCATGTGACTCATAGGCTTATGAACTAAGTAGACACAGTAAGCCTATACATTAAAAACACTGGGTGAATGGTTAAAAACAAAGATGTTTGGGCCCAAGCCCAGACCTATCAATCAGAAAATTTTATCTAGATCCTAGGTATCATCCAAATTTTTAAAAATCTAGGTGCTTCTACGGTCAAGCCAGGGTTGTGAACTAAAAACCAGACTGCTATTCTAAAAGAATTCAGATTTCAAAAGATAACCAGTGTTCACGGGAAGCATGTATTGTCACCCACATATTACATTTCAACACTTAATAATAAAATAGAACCCCTTCATTAAATTCCAATATTTTATTCTGTGAAGTGGGATCCTAAAGGAACATTGTCTAGTTAAGATCATTTACTTTGGGAAGAGAGCTAAATATCCTCATACCTATAGTTGCAGATTTGGTGAGACGCAGAATTTTTGTAGTTTACCTGAAAAAAAAAGTGCCTTTCTCCATGGTAAAAATTTTTAAGTATTGTGGGCATGGATGGGCATAGCTGCTCCAGAACACCCAAATCGTATTTGGGAACTGTCGTTAGGACTTGCAGCTCCCTCTTGGCAATACTTTCTCAATGGTGCCAAATCTTATTTTGAGGGTGGAACTGAATATTAAAAATAGACAAAGCATATTCAGAGTCAAGTCTAGTATATAATACAAACCAATGCTCAGAGGAACCCAAGTGTTGATTTTTTTAGTGTTTGTAAATTGCCTACATGAATAGGGATAATAAGGGGTGAGCCGATGGGACTCATGGATCACTGAGGAAGGAAGTACAACATGATGGGAAATAGAGAGAAGTGAGCAAAAGTCTATTTTCTAAAAGATAATTCGATCTCAAAATTTCTATATGCAATATATAAGGAGTCTAACCGAGCGATTCTCCTGGCTCCAACTGGCTGGGTACTGAGGAACGTCGGTTGACTGTAATGCAAACTAGCTCTTGATGGACATCAACCGCTGACGCTAAATTTCAAAAAATGGTGCCAATCATAAACTTTCTTGGAAGATGGCAGTGGAGGTGGCAAGATATTTTAATCTTTCCAAATCTACACATAAAAAAACCAGAACAACAAGATGGCCAAACTAAAAACCTACAGACAATACTCACAAACAAAACTAAGTGACAAGGTATCCCCAAGACACACACACACACACACACACACACACACACACATACACACACACACAGAATCAGGATTGTGGGTGTCCCTAGCTCTGTCCACTGAGAAAGCCTAGGAAGGAGGGCAAGCTAGGAATGCAATCCTGAGCAATGAGCAACCTAGCACCAGCTTATCATTAGATTCCAGGCTTCGGCCAGGAAATATTTAAGGTAAGTATGGGACATCTTATACTACATAGAAAGGACACTATGTACAACTACTAATTATTCAGAAAGATTCCAGAAGCCAAACTAAAGAGACTCCCAAAGACCCCAAATGGAACTATTCTAGCTTCCTAAAGGATTATAACTGCAATTGATTGAGATCCACTAATAGGGATGCTTGGGTGGTTCTGTCGGTTAAGCATCTGACTCTTGATTTCAGCTCAGGTCATGATATCAGGGTTGAGATTGAGACCCGTAACAGGCTCTGCTCTGGGCATGGAGCCTGCTTAAGATTCTCTCTCTCCCTCTCCACCTCCTCCTGTACCCTCCGCTTGAGCTCTTTCTCTCTAAGAAAAAAGAAAGAAAGGAAGGAAAGAAAGAAACCCACCAGATGTTTAAATACATTTGATTATAATGACATTTTAAAAAGATAGACATCAATTCTTTATTTTGAAAACTGGTGAATGAAAGGAAAGAATCAAGCTCCTATATAAACTCCATCATCAGTCA